CCACGAGTCACTGCTCTCTCTAAGACGCTGCTCAGCCTTCATCAGCCTTCCCTGAGTTTTTCCGACATGCGGCAAAGCTGCTTCAATTTTCCAATTACCCTCTGCTGACCGCTGGGATCTGCAGCGGAGCTTGGTGCCACATCACAGGTCTCAGCATCTTGGCAGCTCTCACTGTGCCCCGTAGCAGAACTATTATCCTTTATCGAACGCTCTGGGCTTTGCAGGATTTTGCTGTGGTCTGCGACAGAAACGTTACCCTTGCCAAATTTCCCAGTGCTCTGCCAGTTTTTTCTGCCCTTTACAGAATTATTATCCTCTGGCTGGCTGGGTTTTGCTGTGTGTAACATCAACATTGCTTCGCACAGCCCTGGCTTTCCGTGGGAGTGATGCTCCTGCCCGCCTGGAGGAACCCGTGGGCAGGGCTGTACGCAGCCTCGGGGCTCCCGGCCTTTACCATCGGCCCTTTGCGGAGGTGAGGATCGGGCTTATCTTCCCTGAGCCCTCCCGTTCCACTCTCCCTTTCATCTGCTCCGTGCAATCCTCCCTCCCGCTCTCAACTTCATCCCATTTCCCGCAGAGGACAAACACAAGCGACGGCAAAACATGCTGCAGCCGGTTTGCTCTGGGTCCTGCCTCTGCTTCCCCGCAGCCCCCGCTCCCACGCCTTCCCTGCCACCTAACGAAATAGCTGGGGGACAGCTAAGTAGCTCAAGGGCTAATAATTACCCTCTTACCGATACTTTTCAGTCCTCCTGCCCTCTATTTCCCTGCATTGCGTGTTGTGTTCAGCCCTTGCTGGCTGCGAGAAGCACCGATGTCTCCTCCAAGAAAAGCACGGTACAGAGCGGGAGTGGGACCATGATCTTATGTCAACCCGCTGCAGCAGCAGCAAGGGCTTTGCTCGGGAGGGGCAGCCCCGCTGGGCGATTCCCGGGTGGAAAAAGGCCTTTCAGTCACGCACGACTGCTGCCGGGAGCAGGGTGAGGCCGGCAGCACGGAGCCTGCAGCCGGGCTGGGGAGCGGGACGGGCCTGCCGC